AATCATTCACTCTTGCCCTCCAACTCTTACACTCGGGCTTTTAAAATTTCTATCCTCAGCCATCATTTTTTCATGCTTGTACACTCCCTTGTTATAAAATAATCCATAGATTTAATAGAGACAGGCTTTGTCAGAGTGCGAGGGCTGGATTTAGTGGTTTCTAGGGGGGAATTATTTGGGATAACTAATTGAAACCAAAGCACATTACCATTCCTTCCCTGCAACAATAAACACTGAGTCTTCAAAGGCCGACCAAGTTTCCAATGATTCCCAACAATAGAAGTTGTCATTTCCAAATGATGGTCCTTTTCAAACGCCAAGTGGAGTGAAGGAAAAGTGTGTGCTATTGCTGATTAGACAGGAATATGACTTGCAGCAGCCTATGTTACTCTCTTGTCTGCAAATTTTCTGCCCTGATTAATTACAAAGAGTGCCAGAGTGTGTTGACGTTAGTTAAAAGCTTTTGCTCTTTCCAGCCTGTCGTTATACCCGAATTAAGGATTTCTGTGTCAAGGTGAGGTCAGGAGAGTTCAGATCTGTTTTCCACTGATAAATCTTGCTGTCCCATAAGGATTAAAGGAACTCAGAGCTTTCATATGTAAAACTAATACATGATCACCTGTGTGTATACGTCCCTATGATCAAAGAACTCTTGGCCAAGTGGGAATGCCTCAGAGAGATAATAAGTAATTTGTTCCCTGCAAACATTACAATTATCTAGCCCTCTACAAAGTTCTGAAAATAAATTCTCTAATCAGAGTTAATTAGCATCCTGGTAGCTTTGGGTTTAGCAGACTGGTTCTCTTAAAGGCACATGAACATGAAAATTACATGCCTTCTCCGAGCCAACTTCTAAACTCTTTGAAAGTTGGTTAGTGTTTCTGCCCACCAATTAGCTTCCCTCATGTACTTCAGTTTTATCAAATCAATTGAACAAAATCCATTGAGTTCTCTTCTATATTCGTTAACTCCTCTGTGCTTCAATTTGTTAACTCCTTACTCTGGGCCAGATGCCTTTCTGAAAGCTTAATACTCTCAAATTCACGACACAACACGGATGTCTTAAGGAGGACTGAGTAAGGCACTCTGGGAGCGGAGAGATGGGAACAGCCTCTCCTAAGAGACGATGCCTAAGGTTGGATGGGAAAAACAAGTAGGAATTTAGTCGGTTTGGATGAGAAAGGAGAGCAAAAATTGTGAGCAACAAAGCCCGGTGATATAATGAGATAATGAGAATGGATTCACACTGGTAATACCCACTTCTCAGGCATATTCTACAAATTTTAAATGATCTGAGCAGTGGCGAAATCAGGCTATTTTCTCTGTCCCTTTCAGAAGATGGGGGTAGAAATTAAAATTGGAATAAGAAGTCTTGGCATCAAGACCCAATTGTGTGTGCAAACCTCAAACTGCATGACGTTTTGCTTTGCCAAGCAACTATTTGCTAATCTAGCAGGTAGTAGTTTCTCTTCTGTAGCTTTATAAAAACTGGTTGCTATAATTTTTAAGAAGCCCAAATCAATTAATTCATCAGTGAATTAATCTATAAATGACCTTCTAGGAGTCCATCAAATACATGCTCAGATCTCCCACAGTGCATTATAGGTGCACTTTCCAATTCTGGAAGCACTTTCTGGTTTGGACCCTCTCAGACTGATTTCCTCACTTTGAGGAGCATAAAAGCCAGGTATGGAACTTCTAAAATGAGTTTTCAAATTCAGACTTAATCAGCTTTTTTTCAAATTTTCAAAACAGTTATCCAAATTATATTTATAGTTATAATTATGCAGTGACCTGCAATCACACGAACATGTTTGCTTCTGAGCTACAAGGATACTAGAGAATAATTCAGAACTTTAAACAGTGTCCACAGAACACATTCACAAATGTCCTGTCATCATCTCTTGCTTTAGCATCCTGATATCATACTGGGTGCAATGACCTTGAGCTTGCAAGGCTTTTCACAAACATTACTTTAGTTTGCGTTTACACAGGAGTGTACATCAGACACATCAGAGCAGTGATTGTTATATCTAGGATATGGAAAAGGAAATGCAGTTTCACAGAGGTCAGGAAAACTGCTAGAGGCTTTGCAGTTAAGGTAAGGGGATGCCACCTCCAAAGACAGTGCTGCTTGCGCTGTGACATGGTGCCGGAGCCAACAGAGCTAATTAACCCATGGATCCTAACAGCTGAAGTGCCACTACCAACAATTCCAACGCTCAGGGCTCTTTCACACTGCCCCTAGTGGCCCTACATGGTGAGAAAGAAGGGCTTACATGAGTGGGTTTGGAAAAGTGTGAGTATTTGCCAATGTGTAAGGACATTGTTATTGTCACAACTCAAGAGAATAAGGTGCCACTGTCCTGTAGTGAGTAGAGGTCAAGGATGTTGCTAAAGGTTGTACAGTGCATAGAACAGGCCCCTATGCCAAAGAATTAGCTGATTCATAATTTCGGTAGGGCCAAGGTTGGCAAGACCTAGCTTAGAATGTTGCCATTAGGATGTTAAGAGAACGAAAGGGATGAAGATTGTGTTTCCCACTGGTGTAGGATAATTTAGCACTATCTGGGAGGAGCGATGTCCAGTCTTCTGAGATGCAGTCACTGCCAACTAGGTGATGGGGGGGGGGGGAGCACTGTGTATTTCCTAAGTGCTAGTCTCCATTTTATTCAGGGAATACACAGAAGCAATGAACTATAACAGTAGTGGCAAACCTATGGCATGCATGCTTATAGCAGGCCCTTAGAACCATTGAAAGCTCTGAAAGTTTTGCCAGCCGTAACCACAGTGTACAGAAATCCACATCACAGCTGACTTCTTCTTCTCTTAATAATTTTTCAATATCAAGCAATAAATTATCTGTGATGCACAGGCTCCATAATACATTGGGAACATACGAACTTTTCTTTGGATTGCTTGAAGAATATAAGAAAATAAATATAACTCAATGAATCATAAGAATTATCAAAGGAAATGCCATCTAAAATGTTTCACCCACCAGATTTTTAAACTTTAAGATCAAAGATAGTCTCAGGATTTGTTTCTATTATAATCTGTGAAAAGAAAATCTACAGTTGACTCTTCATGTTTAAATGGTTTCTCTTTAAAATAGCAAAGGAGCTATAAAAATATTTAAAATATTAGCAGTTTGTTAAACCAATAGTGTAACGGTAATATAAATAATTTATCACCCCTGAAACTCAAAGCAAGGATAAATATCAGGTTAGGATCATTTTAAATACACATCTTTTTTCCCCCCATATATGCAACTTCCAAACAAATGGTAGCTAGGATGCACACTCCATTTTCAACACCAAACTGTAAATCCATCATCTGTGAGAGGGCTGTAAATTACGCTTCAGGGGAAATTCCTCTCACTCAGCCTGCTGACGGAGTCCAAGAAAAGCAGTAGGAAAAATGACTTACTACCCCTGAATGCTGATCTGAAACTTCTACCGGTACCTCATTGCTAGAGAGGAGAGCTGGCAGATCGTGAATAATCCAACAGCAAAGTCCAAAACAAATTTCTAAGAGGGATGAAGAGGAGACCGAGGGTAGAGAACAGGCTCCAGGGTTTTTTCATTTTCCTCTAGTCGAAGACACCTCTGAATGACCTGAGCTGTGCTCCTCAAAATACAAGGACTTGACACATCAGGATATTCTAAACCATGGTGCAGAAAGGAATCAGGTGTTACCTATGTCTTGCACACATGGTTCTTGGCAAAGGCATATCTTTGCACATGAGTGCCAAGTGAATAATATACAAAGTGAATGAAAAATACTCAATCAACTCTGGGATGATTAGCCAAGCTTTTATCAAAGGTTGTCCAGACAGTAAATAAAATGCTTAACAAATGAGGATATGAGAATGGACGTGTGCTAATATGCCAAGCAGAGGCCTTCTCTCAGATTAACTGAAGCTTGGGTCACAAGAGCCATTGGTCACTTCTGACCAGCAATGGGAGGAGACAAAGCACTCTTAGCTATTTTTTCTGAAGCATGAACATAGTAATACCTATTCCACAGGATAATCATCTGAGTTAAATGAGACACTGTATAAAGAGGCTGAAGCATGGGGATGTTGTTGATGTTACAGAACGAGTGTGTCTTGGCACATGGGGTTGCTATAACAAAATGCCATAAAATAGTTGCTTACAAACAACAAAAATTTATTCCTCCCAGTTCTGGAGGCTGATAAGGTAAAAGCACTGGCATGTTAGGTGTCTGGTAAGGTCCTGTTTGCTGATTCACAGATGGCACATTTTTGCTGTGTCCTTACGTGGTAGAATTTGAAAGGCAGCAGTCTGAGGCCTGTTTTACATGGCACTAACCCATTCATAAGGTCTCCAGTCCAGGAGCCCTGACCATGGCCAGGAAAGCTCCATTTCCTAATACTATCACCATGGGGGCTAGGATTTCCACACAGAAATTTTGAAGGGATGCAAATATTCAGACCAAAGCAGAACATAGGAAAAGCAATGAGTGTGCTTGTACCACGCGGTCCTGGAGCAGAAGCCCAGCACTGACACGAGAGTGTGAAAACCAGAGAAAGTACAGCTCACACAGGGAAATATGGGCCATAATTGCAAAATGAGGCTTCATGATCTAATCCTGTGTAAACTTGGATAAGTTTATCTGTGAACTTTAGTATCTTTTTTTATAAAATGGAGAGGATATTGGTTTCTTTCTTAGTGTATAAATAATTTATAGAAAGCACAATGCACTTATTCTAAAGCACAATACTTTAGAATAGTCTGATAAACTACAAAAAGCACTCAGTAAATATTACTTATTATTTATTATTGATATTATTATTGTTGTTACCAATGATCAGCTATTCACATTGAGATTCTTTAGGGAGCTAGTGAGCTATCACAATTAAACACATTTACCAGGACCTGGAAACTCGTCATTTGAGAGGCTCTGACTTGACTAGAAGGCTGCTGAGACCCTCCGCATGTCTCGATTCTCAGCATAAGTGGAAGCCAAGTTCTTACCTGCTGAAATATGCAGGGTCTCGGGGAAGCTCAGCAGAGCCAAGTCATAAAATTGCACTTATTTTTCAGGTCCATTTCTTGGCAAGCAGCACTTTCCGCATCCTCCAGCAACTCCCTGGGCTTCGACAAGATCTCAGAGCAGTTCCCGCAATGGTGCCTCCTAATAAAGTGTCAGACAAATTGGTAGCGAGGGCAGAGCAGTGCCTTACATTACCCTTCATGTTCTTTAAACTATTCCACCTGTGATTTACAGCTTAACCGCGAGGTAAGGTTATAATTCAGGGCTGGGAGAGGCGGGTGAGTCAAACATTGAGAATGAAAGGAGCAGAATCGCAGAGCAGCTGCACACGAGAGACTCTTGACTGTTTGGTTTGCTGAAGGCAGAATCTAAGAAGAGTGAGGAGATGACCAGAGGAGTTAACTGGAACCTGTGACCATATAGACACAAACTGACCTGGGAATAATAGTAACAGAGCATAACCAGCTTTGCCTGTTAGTTCTCAAATCGTGCTGCAGGCAACATTCAACACAGAGTTTAATTTGTTTATGAAACCTAGTGCTGATGAAGAAAAAATACCTCCATAGGTATTTTTGTGAGACTTTCTCATATGCACCTGCTTAGGTCTGAAGCTTATATGCGCATTTCATTTCAGAGTATTGAGATCACCTAGATCTCAATAATTGGGAATAAAAATTTTCATGCTTTCGAGGAACATTTTTGTTAAATGTTTTGTTCATTGATCATTCTAAAGGTATTTGTGTATCCTCTGAGCATTCTTGTAGCTAGAAATGATTCTTAAATTATTTATAGTTGGTTTGTCCAAATAAGTAGAAGTTAAAAAAAATGGTTCCCTGAATATATGATGTGCTATTAAAAAATATAGTGAATGTTCATTTCTTTAAAATTATCATTGCCATGACCTGCACCTTAAAACACTCCATCTTGCTTCAAACACAGTAATCCCATCATTCATGCTAGATTCTGAAAACAGTTCAGAAGTCCTTTTTCAGGAATAGCTTCAGCCACGCTGTTTTTGGCTGACTGGATGTCCTGAATGGATTCAAAACATTGACCTTTCATGGTCATTTTGACTGCAGGGAGGAGGCAGAGGTCGCATGGTACCAGCTCCAGTGAATAAGGTGGAAGAGGACAGTGTTTTTATGAGCTGCCTCTCCTTTAGGTGGCACTTGACAGCACCAGGGACTATTTTTCATCACGCCTCCAAACGAGGCTCACGAAAGAGGGCTGCCAGAAGTGCTTCAGAAAGAGGCAAGAGCAGGGGGATGCATATATTCAAACTGAAAGGGAGTATTTTGAGGGGAATTAATTCTAGGTCTTTTACTGTAATCAATGCTTTAAGTTTAAACATTCATTACCTATTTCAGTAGTTCCTTGTATCCGATTTTACTTAATTACACTGACGTAGGTTGCATCTTAGGCTAAAATAGGGTCGTACAGTCAGATGCCCAAACTATCTAACATCTAGTCCTAGCTCAACACTGAAATATCTCTTTGGTTGGACATACCTGGAACAAAATTTAACAATGAGAAGTCTGACTCTGCCTTTTCTATAATTCAGAAAACACATGAGACAGATTTCAGTATTGGACATGATAAACACTGGTCCATCTGTCCAAATCAGGTCCTTGGCAATTCCAAATGGTACGCACACGTTCAGGGTCTGAACTCCAGAAACAGTATTTCGAAGGTGGCCAAACCACGTGGTGAGTCACTTTCTTCAGATGGAAATCAGGAAACAGGATTTAAATCTCCAAACATCATCAGTGATCGACACTATCCATATCTAATAGAAATTACCTATGCCCAGAAAAGACTGAAATCATTAATCTCTAAACGTGAGTTGAAATCACATCTTCATTTTGCTCCACTGTGAGTGCAATTCAATAAAATCTAGCTAAATCACTGCAACCTGAAAGGACTCAGGTGTTAATGAAGGCCTTCCCTGGTCAGAAGCTCAAGATGAAAAACCTCCTGTATGAGAACAGCAGGATGTCCTGAAGAACTCAGGTTTCCTCACTGAACAAGGATTACTCTGTATTTACTCAGTGCTAATAACTAAACCTCTTCACGCTTTAATAGGAATTATTCACAGACAATAATCAAGGTTTGAGGAATAGAGGAGAAGGCGGAGCAAGTGACTAAGACAGAAGCAAACACATGATTCCTTTAGCCCAAAAATGAGATGGATGTGCTCGCTGACGGTCCATTTGGCATTCCAATTGGATCATGCATCTGAAATAGACAACCACAGGCCCGCTTCATGCTGCAACCCAGCCCTGTCCAAAGTGTAATGATAGACAAGTCTCAAGTGGGTGGAACACTAAGAAGAGGAACAAATCACAGAGGAGAAAGGGAGATGGAAGTTGAAGTGTTCCACACAATTTCTTTTACAGACGATGGGGAAGGAGGAGTTATGTGAGAAAGCCCTGAAATCTATGTCTTGTGACTGAGTGTCCCTGCATAGTGGGGCTGGGACAAATTCTTTCACTATCTCAGCATGGATTCTATACAGACTGAAAGAGAGGATCTAAACACAAAATAAATGACTATTTTATAGTCTTCTGGTGCTATATCTGGGCTTAATAAGCTAATATAAGGTTGTTTGAAAGTGAGGGAGGAAGAAAAAGGCAGTACTTCTTAATGGAATAATCCGAGAGCTACTCATTCATCCAATAAGTCATGATGAGTTTATGCCAATCATTAGGGGCTCTGACTCTGACTCTATGCAGATCTTTCTGAAACTCTCGAATTTCTCCACATAAGAATTCTGGGAAGGACAAAGCCCACGCTTAGGTTAGGAAGAAGCCAGTAAGTCAGGGTATCAGATGAGACTAAACAGCCTCACCCCAGTACAATGAGGATGAAAGAAGTCAAGGATTCGGAAGGCAAACAGCACTTTTTCTGCTCCAGTTAGTCATCAGCACAGTGCACAGGACCCCCAGGAACATCAGACGACAGTGTCTCTACATACTTTTCATGTTGCAATTGACCATGGGACAATAAACAAAGCAGCAAAAGCAAAATAATCTATTCAAAACAACCACTTAATTGCTTTCATTTATGAGCTTTATTTAACTTTTTTTCTCTAATCATCACACAGCCTCAAAATTTATTAGACTAGCCATTGCTCATGATTAAAATGCTTGTTATTTACAAAAGACTTTCAGAAAGATATCATCCTTTGATCCTCAGGATGGCTTTGAAAGTTGAATATTATTATTTTAATGCAACGCAACTGGAAAGTGAGGTTCAAGCAGGTGAAAAGACTCATTCAAGAGAATGCATGTCATGTTTGCACCAAATTTTTGAGCTCTGTGGTTTTCCTGTTCCCATGTTCCTTCATCTGAGAATGGATTCATTAAATGTCAGAGAATCACCACAAACACCCATCTTTGCATACTCAGTTCTATGCTATATACTCATGTAGTATGACCTTCTGCTAAGAATAGAAAATATCAGTGAGATTTTCTTAAAGAGGATAGTGGTTAGGAGCTAATCACATCTAAAATGTAAGCCTGATTCTGGCTCTTTGGAGGTGGGCAAGTTAATTAACATCTCTTGCAAAAGCAATGCCTTCTTGGTGATGTGTCTGTAAGGGTAAATGCCCTAAGCATGCAAACCATTTGCATGTGCTATCCACAGCATCTCCTTGCCAGACACTGCTCTAACAACATCCTAGCAACTAGAAGTGGTACCAAAGCAATAGCACCACCAGCAGTAGATCCAGTAGTAGTCGTAGCCACAGCAGTGTCAGCAACAGTATAGTGATAGTTAATAATAGCAGTACCAGTTTTGTAGCTGTAATAACCGTAGTAGTAAAAGTCACTGTCATCATAACTATATTCCGAGTGATAATATCAGCAGAGGTAGTTACAGCAGGTGCAATAATAGTGCCATTAATTGAAGGTGTCTGTAGCTAAGACTTAATGATCACCCAACCAAGTGACAGGGAAGGAAAGAAGATGACTGTCTATTAGCAAACATGTACACAAATCAGCCAGAGATGAGAATTTCCCCAAGCGTGGTCTATTCAAATTTACCACTGAGGTCACCTGATCAGAAGAGATTTCAGTGGAAGAAAAGCAAATCTTTTCTTTCAATAATCAGAAACTGCTAATGAAGAGAGAAGGTCCCATATGATCATTGGCTTCTGTTCCACAACAACTGAGAATAGCAGCAGCCAAGGAAGTAGCAGGAGGAACATCAACTCTTGACACCTAGATGTACTCTCTGTACTGCATGAGGAGGTAGCAAGCTATTCTACAACCATGGTCCACGCAGGTCAAGTCATTGTTCCAAACTCTGTTTTCTCTAAATTTCTGAAAGCAAGTAGAGCCACATAACTTTTGTTTACTGAGAAGAAAATGAAAAATAAATTACAATTTCTTCAGTTCTTACAAATTCCCTACCCTAGGATGTTTTTGGTACCCTCTCATTTGATCACTTGATTTCTAAAGAAATCAAGCAACACAGCTACCCTAAGAAGGCTGGGGACCAGGCTGCCTGGTTTCAGAGCCTAACTCATGCTGCTTCCTTAAACTATATCTTGGAAAACTATTTGCTTTTGAAAATGAGAATTTCTGTTCCACCACATTGTCTTACCTTGGGATGCTATAACAAAATACCTTAGGCTGGATGACTTATAAACAATAGAAGTGTACTTCTCATGGTTCAGGATCAGTTTCAAGAGAGGTGGGTTCAGGAGCAGGGGGCTCCAGGCCAGGATGGAGACTGCTGGATTCGCCCTGTATTTGCAGGTAGTGAGAGGGATTAATGAGCTCCCTGGTGCCTCTTTATAAGGTCACTAGCCCCATTCAGGTAGGCTCCGCCTATACAACTTAACCGTCTTCTGAAGACTCTACCTCCTGGATTTCAAAAGATGGATTTAGAGGCGGAAACAGACATTCCAACGGTGGCACACATCCATGTCAAATTTAAATTTGGGTCAAGCATTCACTGTACTGTTTGGTGACCACTGATACACACTCACCACCCCAGTGCTTCCTGGATTCAGTCCGAGGGTCTTCTCTGGCTGCAGAATCCCACACTGCCTTCCCACCTATACATGCACAGGCCAGAAGTTCAGGGAAACAAATCCCCTCAACCACCGACTGACAGTTGTTGATGGATCAATACA